TTATTTTGATGACTTATCAGTAATTTGAATTTCTCTTTATCGGTTATAGAGTACCGATTCTTAGAACAAACCCCTTTTTAATGATTTTCTTTTAGCAAATTCCATAGTTTATTGATTGTATAATTTATCACGTATTATATCTGTCATTCTCAGCGACTCAGTATTGTGTTGAAATCTTTTGGACATTCATGTTATAGTATTATTAACGACTATCCGAGAAATTTTCTCATAAAATATCGTTGGACCCTCGAAGAGTTGGCCACCTTGTGACTTTACACGTACTAGCCGTATATGAATGTTTACCTTCCTATCAAGATACCTTTTGTTAAAATTTGCTTCATTATCAAGATACCTTCTATACCGGCTTTTATCTGTCCCTTTGATTTTTTATCGAACGAGCCTTGTTCAGGACCACTTATTTAACCTTCTTTTAGGGGGTTACGTGGGTAGATGGTCCAGAGCCATTTCCTTTTTATTTCTACTGTAGTTTTGGTTGTGTGTGGGCGTTTTTCCGTTAACTTCCAGATTTTGTGATATTAACGCCCCAAACACCAGTTTATAGAGTAGTACCGTTTTATTTTGTATCTTACGTTTAGTTTTTTTGGTCTGGGTGCTACCCCGTCCATTTTCTAATGGAATTTTAACCTCCAGAGGTGAGTTTTTTTTGTATACCATCGGACTACGTCCATTAATGCTTGTCCTGAAGAAGTTTGTTCAATATCTGATTCCTTTTAGTGGAAAGCCATTGTGGAGAACCACCATTTACACTCCCCCCGCTTTGTTTTGTGAGCTGCCTTGTAGCTATTTCATTTTAATTGGGTATCTTATAGATATTAATATATTGATTGTTGCTGACTGAAATTCTTAGTGTGTTCTTGATTTTGTTCGGCATCTTACGTATTCAAATACTCGTATAGGGCAGTGCCTACATGTCACCGTCTTTTAAGCTACCGTAACTTATCTTAGAACAACGGATAACTTTCTAAAGGTATATCACTTTGGTAAATTTTTATCTTTTCTTGCCCTTGCAGAAAGAAAAATAGTTTTCTTGTAAAAGAGAATGTCGATGGATTTTTTAAATGTGTGTCACACAGAGAATAGAGAGTTGATTTTCAAGCAGAATTTCTATGGGTTTTTTTTATTATATTTTGGAAAATATGTCAAGCAGCGCCTACCTTGTGACATTTTTAACGTCACTGGCCACTGATTTTTCACCTGAGCGTTTATGAGCTTGGATATCTCCGTTATGCCTAGAGCTGTAACGGGAAGAAGGCCATTATTCAGATAGGACCACTGTTTAGATAAGTTTAGGTTTAGGCGTTAAATTATTTGTAAAGCTTTCGTACGTGTACCATGGTAAACGTTTTGCAGTCAATTATCACGGTCTATTATTTTTATTGCTAGGTAGTTTTGACTAATTTCCTTTCTTTTAACTTGCATTCCAGTGGTGGAACATATGTGCTGCTTGTTTTGATGATATATGATGATCCTTTTTTAAATATCTTGTTTTATTTAGCTCTCTGTATACAATTAATTAATTCTTTCAAGCAAAACAGGTTCCGACTAACATCTCGAGGATTTGTCACTTAATCCGTCTTGAGTCACTGGCGCTCTTAACCCACCCTACTCTCCGCTTTATCGAGTTAGGAACTAAATTTGCACGCCACTTGACATGTGTTCTGCATTGACTGACCTTTAGATTTCATTTATATCAATTTATCAATTCATTAAATAATTTAAAAAAGGGAGGAGGAATCACCCCACCATTTTCTCTTGCTTATAAAAAAAGCGTGGCAGCCCATCGCAAATAAACTTTTCCATACAATATCTATTACCTGCCCTCATGCATCAAGGTTGTACAGTCCGTAACGAACGCAACTGCGAAAGCGAAAACGTTTACCTGGAAGGGCAACAGCCGGAACGAAATCGGGCGCTCTTACATGTACGCTTCCGTGTGTGCGCATTTGTTTAATCCGGATTCCGGATTGTAAAGGAGTATTCCTCTCCCCCCTCTCGACACGTCGCTTCAAAACTGTTTTCCGATCGAACGGCTCTCATGTTAAGCGGTGGCTTTGCTTCCAATACGTTCGAGAAAACGCTACCAATCAGAGAAGTTCTGCTGTGAGGCTTATCTACAGGCTCACGTCTGACTTGTATGTGCTTCGTTCCGCGCTCTCTATTGGGAAAAGGGTAAAACTGGGGTTTTTCGCTTATTATTATTGTTTGGTATCCCTAAAGGTTTCATATAGGGTCCTTTACGAATGTTTGATCATATTTGTCATAAATTTAAGGGACTTGTGTTTTGCAGGTTATAAAGGGTTTAAATAAATTTCTTCATAGGAAAAGTCCGATAATATTTTTCGCCAAAACTTTCAGAACATACGTTATTATTATTTGGTATCCCTCAGGGTTCCATATTCACGAAAGTTTGATCATTCAAGGAACTTGGTACTGTGCAGATTGAAGTCATACAAAAACATTACTTATTGAGACTAGCACATAAGGGGTTTGTTAGCCACTAAGCAACTACGATATTTGTATAAGAAGTCAGCACGATGTTGCGACCTTAGGGGACGTTCAAGTATTACGCGTCTTTGCTTTGCTTATTTTGGATGACATGGGGGTAGGGGAGTCTAGATGATGATTACGTCATCGGTAGTTATTTACTTTTTTACACGAATGGCAACCCTCACATTGTCTTTGCTTCAAAACGAAACGCATTTTCGGGGATTCCCGCAAATAATGCATACGTTTTGTGAACAGCGCGCGGTAATTCCCCTACTCGCTTTAGAATCGAGTAGGGGAATTACCGCGCGGTGTTCACTTGTCTAAATTTCCTCTATCAGTGTATTGTTTCGTTTGGATACTATAGCGAGTAGACGTATTGTAAGCATAGTAAAGCAAGTTAACATTTGTGTTACCATTGATTCCATTAGCCAAAGTTTAATGTTTAAATAAGATGTCGTTTCACATAGACAAATCCAAGTTATACCAAAAATTGTTTGAGAGTTTTAAAAAATCTCATACAAGTACGAAAGTACAAAATGTACAAAAGTTATTTAACGAAGTGTGGCGCAATTACAAATTAGAAGCAAAATCCGACAGATATTATTGTATCTAAGAGAATCGAAGAAGAATTGGAAGCGGCGACTAAGAATAAATCCAATCTACTATTTTTTTTTTCTAATGTGGGTGAAGAAATCATTTTAGGTACCTATGAGTACTAGAAATATTAGAAATCGCCAAAAAGTTTCTCTTTACTGATTAAAAAATATTATGGCCTATCTCAAAGTATAGAGGTAATATTATACATATATATAATATTCTTTATATTATAGATTTATTTCTTATGATTGATTCCGTTAATTGGTCACAAAGTACAGGATGTTAGTTTTATACATATATACAGAAAACTAAAACCCTGTATTTTGTGACCGGAACGAATTGCTCGTTTAAACATATTAGATTTAAAACCATAGGGTTTTGTATTTACCATATATATTGCCATACTTTGTATTTATGTAGCTTAATTAGAGAATCTTTAGCAGAAGCCATAGAAAGTTTTTATTTTTAGGCAACCTGTAAACCTGCAGAAGAAACACAAATTATACAGTCAGCTTCAAATATTAAACAAGAGGAAGAAGATAAAATAAAATCCGGTAATGAATCAAAGCAGCAATGCGAAATTAATAAAAATACAGATAAACAGAGAGCAAAACCATCTCAGGAAGCTATGAAAAATAAGATTGCTCTACTCGAAAAAAATCTGAATGCTTTGTATTCTGCCAGAGATACTATGCCAAGCCGTGCTGAAGTTGACAAACAGATCATTAAGATGCGCGAGGAAATAAAAACAGCAAAACAGTCTTTAAACAGAAAGGTTCAAAACGCAGTTGCCCAGAAGAAACACAGGGATGGTATGAAAAGTAAGTTAGAAGATATTTGTCATGAAATTCCAGAAATAAAAAAAGACTATCTCTGAGGGAGTCAGTGGGACGTCCTAATCTTGAAAGCAATCAACATTCACTATTGAAAACAATCGCGGATGTAGCTTTATTTGGGAGTGCAGCTGATGATAGGATACGATCGGAATCAATTCGCAGCGTAAAAACTCTTGATGAACTCACACAAGAATTACGTAAAATAGGATTTAACATTAGTCGCAGTGGGACATATCTTCGTTTGATTCCCAGAAAATCTAATTCTGCAGAGGGACGAAGACATGTATCGACAGTCCCTGTTAAGCTCATTCGGGCTCAAACTGATCACCACAAGAGCCACTTAGACAGCAAGTTCGCTGAAACATCAATCCCTTATTTAGAGAACATAGCATCCATACTTGGACCAGATCAAGTATTTTTCATATCTCAAGATGATAAAGCTCGAGTCTCTATTGGCGTAACTGCAGCAAATAAGCAAGCACCTCTTCTAATGCACATGGAATATAGAATCAAATTGCCTGATCACGATTGGGTAATCGCTGAGCGTCATAAATTAATACCATCTGTTTATGCTGGTATCAAAAACACTTCCAATATGCTAGGACAATCGCAAGCCGTTTCATATTGTGGACCAACATACATCGCTATTCGAAGTGGAAAGCATAGTTCATCTACTGCTAATACTCATGCTCAGGATTTCGAGACGCTTCTCGAACTTGAAGAGTTTCGACCATTAGCCAAAACTGACCATGGACTAGTAGAACCAGTGGTAATCATGACGGTTGATGGAGGGCCAGATGAAAATCCACGTTATCAAAAAGTCATAGGGTTTGCTATACAACACTTTAAGCGACATGATCAGGATGCATTGTTTTTAGCTACCAATGTTCCTGGAAGAAGGGCGTATAACAGAGTAGAACGCAGAATGGCTCCTCTTAGTCGGGAACTGGCTGGTTTAATATTACCTCATGAGCATTTTGGGTCTCATTTGGATGAACGTGGCGCTACAATTGATGAACATTTAGAAAGATCTAATTTCGAATTGGCAGGAAATGTATTAGCTGAAGTATGGAGTTCAATGGAAATTGATGGCTATAATGTTAATTCAAAATATGTTGGGGCAGGTGAACAAGATCTTCCTGATTTTCCAGACATTAAATGGTATTCAGAACATGTGTGTGAGATCCAATACTTGCTTCAAATTGTAAAACGTAGAAATACAGAATGCTGTCATCCAAAAAGTGGCCTATTTAGATTACTAGACAATAGGTTTCTTCCACCACCTGTAAAAGTAAAACAAACAGTTGATGACTTGAGTTTGGATGAAGGAGGGCATTTTCTTAATCTTCCAGTCAATTTAGCTCTACGCTTAAGTGCTTCACTCAAAGATTTCCTGCAAATGCCCTACGATTATTTTTGTCCGAACATGCGAAACGTGTGATCTTTATCATGCTTCCGTCAAGTCACTAAATCGTCACATCGAAAATATCCATAAAAAAGTAAACACGCACACTGATAGGAAAGTTAGACCTGTAAGAGTCGCTGCTCGTCGTGCTAATGAACTGATGTGCATTATTCAAAATTTAGAGCACCATGATATTGAATGGCTCGATGAGAACGACGTAGACATTTCAAAATCCTATGAAAGCGAGCAAACTCACAACACACAATCGAAGCAATCCAATGTCATCGAAAACTTAGAATCATGGATTCGGGTTGCATGGACTGAAGACTGTTAATTTGAATTTAATGTATGGACCAAAAATTTAAAATAAGTTTGTTATGTTAGTAAGATATAATATTTTTGTCCTTTACTCTATGTTGAATACGTTATAATTATAATATTAAAAAAAACAATACATTAATTGACAAATGTTTACGTAAGCATGGGGGAGGCGGTAAGAGCTTTGCTTACTTTTGCTGACAAGGGGGATGGGAGGGGGTAAATAATTGTAATAAACCTGCTTACGTAATACTTGAACAGCCCCTTAATCAATTCAACTCAAGGAATAGAGATATGTTAGTGATTCCCTTACGTTCTAAAGCTTTCTACAAAAAATCATTGACGCCACTTTTTTACAGCATAACAATGCCTCGATAATTGACATGGGAAGTGAATTAAACAACATGCAAAATTAGTTTTTTATTGACATCTTCCTAGAAACCTGACAGTCACTCCTCTCTTCCTTGTACACGTTATACTTATATGGTCTAGCCAACTCAAACACATATATGTAAACGTTACTTATCTTTTATTTCGCGTTAGATTCGATACAGCGCCAACTTTCTGCCAGTAGAATCGTAGCTTGCCAAGTTATCCAATTCGACAATATTCATACGTCAGGGTATTTGCAAACTTGGGTTACTGTGAAACCGCTGTAAAAATGTCACCGGTTTTTCGGCGTTTTCTATTCGTGAACATGTATTGAATAATCATTGGGTATTATGGCTTGCAGTAGAATTTCAGAATGCTGATGAAGATGATATAAAAATTCGACGATCTCGCGTGCATTTGGAACACTTCCAAATCGAATCATTTCTCTTGGAATCGGGGTCAGAGGGTAAGGAGGTATATGTGCTCTTATTGCAGCTCGTGGACTGTACACACAGAAAAGTAATCAAATTGCCAAATATTTGTTTGTATCCACATTTTCCATCAATAAAATGAAGTTTTCCTACTCCTTTTGGTGACAAAACTGCCCCAGACGATAATGGATGCTGGAAATTTCAGTTTTCTCATCAGACAGTCAACATGGAATGCTTCATTTTTTTTGGCGAATAACTCTACTGCGACTGTCACCAACACAAACTTCGAATCAGGCCTCATCACTCCATTGTATTGCACACCATTGTTGAGGTGTCCATTGTCTATGTTCTTTAGCCCATCTAAGCCGATTTTTCTTTTGTAGTGGAGTTAACAGTGGCTTTTCTTTGGCCTATAAACAAGTTGTGCAACTTTAGGGTTTTTACTTCACTTTTTTTTATAAGAAAGCTTACCTTGCAAGTGCTAAATCCCAGTTTGTGGGCCTCTCTAGGAGCTGTGGACCTCGAAATTCTCCTTCCAACAGCGTCACTCCACAGAGCACTTAATTGTAAATAATTGGCACGCCTGTTTTTCACGATTATTCTTCTTAATGCTCTTCGGTCGGCATTTGTGATATTACTTTTTTTCACATATCGTGGCTTAATATTAACTGACCTAGTTACGTTATATCTTCTAACAATATTTCTCACACTGTAACGCGATAAGTCTAAGAGTTTGATTTCCCATAATTAAAAAATTTAATTATCAGTAACCGAATTTTACCAATAATAACCTTTCCTCTACCCATTTTGAAAACCTTAACTACCCAAAACTATTTTAAACGTAATATGACAGCTGTGATTAATAATTTTTAATTAATTTTCTCCTATATTCGTGAAAAATTCTACGAACTCATCATATATTTGCTGAATATTGTCTGTTTTCTATCCTGTTTCTGTTTTTATTTCATTAATATTGTTTTTTGAATAGGATGACTTATTGAATATATCATTGATAGTGGACTATAGGTGTCTAGAGTCATGTGAATTATTATTCAATTGTTTTAAATAGTATTTTTTTGCTTTTCTCAAAACTTCTATAAATTTGTTTTCATACTGATTATAATGATCTATATTTTCTTTTGTGGGTAAATATTTCATGATTTTATACAGCTAACTAGCCTTTTCCACTTTTCTCAGTTATATTTTGGTTCGAAACCTCTCTTTTCGTTCTTTGTCGATTCCACCGCAGGCAAAGAACACAAAGACATTGAATGAGCTCATTTAAAGATTCTTCAGTGTCGTGTAGTGAAGTGGTTACGCTCAGCAGTCCATGAAGAAGCTGACAGGGAAAGAACGCGTTAAAATCAGCCCGCGACTGCACAGTGCACTGAACAATGCTATTCCTCCACCGATAATTGCATTGCACACAATTTGTACTCGAGGCAGCGGTATCGTTAGTAGTAAATCAGTCCGCGTGCCTCGTAAGCCTGAAGTATTGCCGCCGAATTTCTCATGAACATTGCTCGGAACCAACAGGATCGCTTTCAATTTGTATCCGGTCGCCGTCGGCATCATTTTTCAATGGCATGTTACCGACTGATTCGCGCGCGACGTTGCCGGACTTGGAAAATGTAGCTAGCTATGTACAGATTTTTTACGTTAGGCATCGTCATGATACAATTAAAAGTCCTGAAAATTTACAAAACAATTGGCCTAAAGAGTTATGTTCCAAAGCCGTTAATGGAAGAGCTTAAGCTGTGGATATCAAATACTTCTAGGCAAAACATCCATAACATGATGTCTGTGATGATTGTATACGTCTCATAGATTTATTGAAACTGGTGCTGTGATGTCTGTACACTTCGTTTTTTATCCATTTTCGCTCTCTTTCTTTTCATCGGAAGCATTAATAAGTAGTAATTTATTAAGAAAAAAAAATCCTAATTTCAACAACAACAACAACCACTGGTATCACTACAGCATTTCACAAGTACATACATATATATTCAAATATAACAAATTTAACAAATTCTGTCAGATCTTATGTGTTTGATAAGTGCTTTCTTGAAATACCCGACTGAGTCGGCGTTTTTTATTTGTTAGGGCAACTTATTGTATTCACATAGACCTTTGTACATTATTGTTTTCATTGTACTCTTTATATTTATTTTATTTACATGGAAATGAGTACACGTCCTAGTGTTATATGAATGGATCTCATTATTTGGGCGCAAATGAGCACCTGAATAATTAGCTCCACAATTTTATGAATAAATAGCATTGTTGTTAAATAAAGATGTTGATTCACCGATAACCACTGTAGAGTATTCAGCATATATTCAATTCTTGTGTACCTAGAGCACTGTAAAATTATCCCCATTTCCCTATTTTGAAGTTTTTGTAAGGTGCCTATTTTGTTCTTGCTAAAGAAATATAATAAAGATGAATAGTACGGAAAATGAGGTTTTATTATTGTATTGTAAACCGTAATTCTTGCAAACATTGATAGCTGTTTAGAAGCTCTTGAAAAAATGAAGTTTCTTTGAAATGTTCTTAATAATATAGTCACTATGGCTGTTAAAGTTTAGGTTTTTATCTAACGTAAATCCAAATTGTATGAACTATATCAAGAACTGTCTTTTCAATTTTAATTTGGATATTAGCTTTTATTATATTCTTGTTGTTACCGCATCTTTTGATTTTTGAGTGTTCAACTTCAATTTGCAGAAACAATCTACACACGTTACTATTTACAAATTTAATTTTTTTTTCAATTTTATCTTTATTAGGTATGCTACTGTAAATGTTTGCTTAAAATGAACGCCAGCTGCTTCAGCTTGGGAGAAAACGACACGTCTACTGCCTCGCTCACACTTTGTAAAATAACTCTCTCTCTCTCTTTTTCTCACTCAAACTAGAACCTGAAAGTTACGGCTCCGTGGAAATCCAGTAGCAGAATTCTAAGTAATTAAGAAAAAAATTTAGAACTGAGATTCTTCACAAACATTAAAATTGTCCATAATTCAAGAAATAATCTTGCAAGTGTCATACCATTTTGGAATCCTTATTAGATGTGCCAACTGTTAAAATTACTTGCCAAACTAGCGTAGAACATTCTTGTTTCAGGACAGTCAACAAAATTGAGAAAAGCTTTAAATTTGAATACTCGTTTGGAAAAGAAGTGAAGCAGCTGGCGCCAAATTTTAGGCAACAATTTACAACAACATCATTCAGAATTACATAATAAAAATAAAATTGAGAAAAAAATTAAATTTACTGTAATGAGGACTAAAACATTACCATAGGGTGTATATTTTTTCAATTTTGAAACAACACTAGCTACCTCTATATCTGACATTTCGACACAGAGTGCAGTAGAAAAATGTCGAGCACTGTTGAGTCTAGCATTTCAAGTGAAGATTCGCTGGACTCAAATCACGAACATTGTAATGTAGTACATTACAGCGTTTGCCTTAAGAGGAATAGTGTCAGGGCCAAGACCGATCCCTGGGGAACGCCCGCGTTGATGCTGTGGGATGGGGAGGAGTCTATTACACCGGACATCTTGCGGCCAGAGGAAAAGTCATCGACTTATCTGTAACGCTTGTCTGTGAGGCCAGCTGATCGAAAGCTTTCAACGACATAAGCCTCACCATAAGACTGGGTGAGTTTACTGCCTGTCACTAATCAAGCCGTGACGTTCGCGACTTAGTAACTATTTTATAGCGGAATACTTTACTGAAATTAGTGACGGACTGGAAATTAAAAAATACGCCTTGTCTATATCTATATTTAATCCATAGCAGCTTAAGTTTTTTGTGAATGGTATAAGATCTCGCAGAAGCTTGCTTCTGTCGGCTTGTTCACCATTCTTGATCTGAACACCGACTAGGAAAATAGAAAGTAATTAAAATGTTAACTCGAAATTCCGCGAAATATCTGAGATATGCCACCTTAATGTTAATAATTTGTTGAAGTTCCTCGGTTCGCTACACATTCGTTAAGTCGTCGCGGCATTGATTGGATTAATCCGTCTCAAGTCACTGGCGCTCTCAACGCCCCCGACTCTCCGCTTTATTCAGCTAGTACCGAAATTTGCCCGCCACTAGACAGCTGTCTTGCATTGGCTGACACTTAGATTTCATTTATAGTGTTTTATTTATTTATTAATTAATTGATTATATGAAAAGTAAATAGGATCACACCACCATTTCCTCTTGTTTATAAGAAAAGGGGTTAACGTCCAGATTCTGGGATATTAACGCCTCAAACACCAGATTATGGACTAGTGATTTTTTATTTTGTACCTTACGTTTGGTTGTTTTGGTTTGGGTGCTACCCCGTCCATTTTCTAATAGGATTTCAACATTCAGCGGTTAGTTCTTTTTTGTATACCATCGGACCACGTCCATTAATGCGTGTCCTGAATAAGATCGTTCAATATCTGCTTCCTTTTAGTGGGAAGGCATTGCGGAGAACCACCATTCACACTCCTCCAGCTTTGTTTTGTAGCTGCCTTGTAGCTGGTCACAGCAGATTTTGCTGAAAGCCACACCTTCCCATTGATAAAAAACCCTGATGTGAACACGTAAAATATCATTTTAATTGGGTATTTTATAGATATATGTACATTGATTGTTGCTTAATCTTGTTTGACATTTTTCGTATTCAAATATAGAGCACTGCCTACATATCACCTTCGTTTGGGCTTACTACATTACAATTATCATGATTTTGATTTTTGAGCTGCCATAACTTTATTTTAAAACAGGGGTATATCCCATTAGTACATTTTTATCTTTTCTTACCTTTGCTTTACTTTTCTTGTATAAGATGATGTACATTGTTTTTCTTCGAGTTTCGAGTGATTAAATGTGTTGTTTTGTCTCAGACAGAGAGTAGAGAGTAGATTTTTAAGCAGTCTTTCTCTCTCTAGTAGTTTTTTATACCGTAAGTTTTGGAAAACGAGGCAAGCAGCCCCTACCTTGTGACGTTCCTTACGTCGCTGCCCACTGCTGGCCACTGGTTTTTGACCTGAGCGTTTGTGAGCTGTGGCCATCTCAGCTGCGCTTAGAGCCGTAACTGGAAGAAGACCACTGTCCAGTTTAGGTTTAGGTTTAGGCGTTAAAATATTTGTAAAGCCTTCGTACGTGTATACTTTATCTGAAGTCACTTGAAACACTGTGAAATACCGGGTGCGTTTTATATATCTATATTTAACACGCACTGTTGCTGCAAAAATCGCCAAATTTCGCAGCAAATATCCCCCGTATAAGATCAAAGGCAGTTTCACCGGTCCACGTGGAGTAAAGCACGCCTATGCGTGGACATAGCCAATGAGAAAGCGTGTATTTCAGAGCTCCGAACAAGTGCAGGTGGTTACTGAAAACTGAAACAGTTTAGCCAGTGTCGTGTAGCGGTGAATAAACGTGTTTTCTTTAGTCTGTCCGTGTTTTTTCATAGATTTTATTAGTTTGTGTGTTTTTGACTTTTGAATACTCAGTTTACTTATTGATTTAATTGTTGTGTTGATTGTTCTTGTGTGTCCTAAATATGGCTCTTTGGAGACCTTGGGAAAATGCTCCAAGCCACGAGGAGATGGTTGATGAACCTGTGCAGGCAGAATTCTTTCATAAAGATTTAGAGGAACAGACCCAAAGAGTAATCCTAAATATATATGATTGTCTGAAAAACGAAAATCCAGAATCGTCGCAAAATCAAATTTTAAACAGAATTTGTATCCTGACAAAAATCAGTCGGTCTACCATTTATCGGGTTATAAAAAGGGGAGATGTAGTCAACCATTCCTTCCACAGAAAGCGCATATGGCAAAAATTAAAAAGAATAGACGTGGGTTTTCAGGCAGATATTCGTCATATAATATACGGATTTTATAAAGAAAATTTGGTGCCCACGTTGGAAATGATACGGGATAAATTAAAAGATTATCCTGAAGATTTTTATAATTACAAATGCTTAGACTCACTGCACTGTATTGTAAAACTGTGTGGTTTTCAATACAAAAAATTAGATAAAAGAATGGTGATTATGGAGTCGTCTCGAATCGTTGAATTGCGCCAAGAATTTTTGCACAAAGTTAAACTCTATAGAGAGCAGAAAAGAAATATGATTTACCTGGATGAAACGTGGTATGATACCCATGATGTTGTGCAGTACGGCTGGGTTGACGACAGCAACAAGTGCATTTTAAATGCACCATGCAACCGTGGAAAACGAATCATTATTCTCCATGCTGGCAGTGAAAATGGATTTATACCTAATGCCTTGCTGTTATCTGCCAAAAATATCAAAGAATCATGTGCCGACTATCATGAGGACATGACCTCCGACTTATTTGAAAAGTGGATAGAGCAGCAATTAATACCAAACATTTCTCCAAATTCAGTGATTATTATGGACAATGCGCCATACCATTCCCGACAGAAAAACAAAATTCCGAATACAGGCACAAAAAACAAGACATTATTGATTTTATGAAGGATAAGGGAATGGAAATACCACAAAAATCAACCAAAGCCATATTATTGGATCTTATTAAAAGACAAAAATTTGAAAAAGAGTATGTTGTTGACAATCTGCTTCAGCAAAATGGCCATGAAGTATTACGTCTACCTCCCTATTACTGCATTTTTAACCCGATTGAGTTGGTCTGGGCTGCTTTAAAAAAAAGTAAGAAAACATAGTCAGACCCCTCAATTAAGTGAATCGCTATTGGCCACAATAAGAGATGCAGTATCTCATATTGCTGCCACAAACCTATGGAAGCAGTGTTCTAGGCATATTATTGAAAAAGAAAATGAATATTGTGTTTTGCCTCCTGTAAATCCCGTTGTAATTCCTCTACAAGATGACTCTAGCGACAGCTCCGAAGGCGAGGATGATATATAAATACCTATAATGTAAGTCTTTATATACCTTTTTATATACCTACCTGCTATGTAAATATTTGCCAATGTCAAACGTTGGAATTCTGTAATTTTTCCATTTCTTAACTTTCAGTCAACATAAATTAAACTCCCAATATAAGTATTTTTTATCCCAAATCAAAAAAATAAGAAGATAGTAAAATCCATTTATTGTGATATAAAAACATTATTATTATCGTTCTAAATAAATGACCGCACGCCTATGATACGTCATGAAATTACAAAGGACGCGCCGACCAAAGGTTTTTATGCTATTTCAAGTGACTTCAGATAAAATATACCATGGTAAATGTTTTGCAGGGTTAATTATCACGGTCTAATGATTTAATTGTCAGGTGGTTTCGAATAATATCCTTTGTTTTGACTTGCACTCCAGTGGTGGAGCATATTGTGTGCTGCTTGTTTTGATAATATATTGTGAGTCTTTTTTAAATAAAAATGCCTTTACAAAGAAAGTACGGAATGTCTTCAACATTTTATCAGCGTATACTTCCATGATAGTTTTCAAATTTTTATTAAAATTCAAGAAGTAGGGTGCTGCATTGTATGTCACGGTATATTATCGTTATTTTTGGTAAATAAACTTTGCTTTTGTGTTTGGAAAATGGACTTTACGTGTTAAGAACCTCGCGCATATTCCGAAAATTGAATAATATACAGGGTGTTCTAGTTATAATAGGCATGTTGGTATCTATCTCGGTACAACCGGAAGTGTCAAAATTTTGAAAATATTTCAGCCGAATTGCTCCCAACACTTTCACTGAGAATCCAAATTTTCATAGCTGTCTCACGTCAACGTTTTGATTAATCAATCGCTGCAGTTCTACGTATACATATGGCCGTATAACATACGCATGAAATTTTCTAGAAAAGGAAATGAATCACAACCAAATTTATCCATTTCGATGTGTATCATTGTGCATTCACATGTATGATTCATTTCTTTTCCTGTGCACTTCATATAGTGAGTAATGAATGTACATAAACGGTATTTAGCGCGTCTTGCTGAAATGGACCGTTGAAACTAATAGAAATATTTAACTGTACGAATTTAACATCTACCTTCGCGGAATTTGATTAGAGAAGAATGCTATAGATATCGGCTAATCTGTATATATATATGGCGGTTTCGCGGGTTCACATTCAATTCAATGTTATGGTGGTGAGGGTGTGGGATAGAAATTGTATTGACGTGCCAGTTATGGATATCACCTTACACGTAAGTAGACGTACATCGTACAGTGTCACACATGGGATGTGAGAAAGAAATTCTAAGATACTCCTGTTGGCACAATCGTTTAATAAACCGATGTCTACAGATAATAATAATACTAATAGTAATAACGTTAATAATAATAATAATAATTTATTCATGTTTTAACACAAAGGTGCTTACAAACTTAGAGAAAACTCTCAGCATTTGATCAATAAAACGCAATACAAAAAAAGTAACATATACACTTGAAAAATATGAGCAAGAATACAAAATAATAAAACAAATAGTAAAAATTATGGAACAAAGTCGGTAAAATCATTATTTGAAAACTCGTCTATACTACCTATATAAAAAGCTTTTAACACTAAATATCTTTTAGCAGTTTATTTGAAAATGCTTGGGTTGAGTGTTTGACAAAACCTGGGCAGAGCATTAATGTATCTTATACCGAAATATATACTCCGCGTCCAGTTTTGGATAGTCTTGTATATTCTGCTATTAATTCATTATTGAAAACTGTGTTATATTTGTGAATCTCTTTAAGAGTTCTGCAATCATCATAATTATTTTTAACATAGATCAGACATTCCAGTATATACGAGCCCCTTCCCACTTTAGTTGGCCCACTTCAAGATTTGCACCAAAATATGCCTTTATAAACTAGACCTATAACTAATAGAACATCTGAACAAATAAACAATGTGCGAATAAATGCGCGAAGTTAACAAAGCAACAATTGAAAGATTACCATTGGGTAACATCACCTTTATTTTTTATTACGGCTGAAATTCTTTGGGGCATAGTGTTAACCAAGTTTTGGCAAACATTTGGTGTAAAACAATCCCATATTTCTTGAAGGTTTTGTCTCAGTTCGGTGATTGTACGAGCAGGATGTTGTCGTCGAACCTTTTCTTTTTTTTTTTATATATATCGAAACAGCCGCGCAGGCAGAAGCCTAAATGCCGGAACACCGCGGCTGCTATGATGATCCCAAAGAAATTTTGTTAATACGATTTTTGAACTGCCTAAGGTTATTAGAACTGGGAAAATCTTCCTCCCGTAGATTGTTCCACAATCTAGACACCCTCGGGACAAAGGAGCGGTCGTATCGGCCAGTTCTGGATGTACGAAGTTTGACACGGTTAGGATGGGACGCCGAAGTCAGGCGAGTCTGTCTGGCAGGCACATCGCGCGGCGGCATCATGGAAGAGAGCTCTGAGGAGCAAAGTCCGTTGGTGTAGCGATAGAAAAGAGCTAGATCGCCAACATCCCGCCGGTGCGAAAGAGCCCCGAGACTCTGTTAGGGAAGAGTCATCGATCAGTCGAACCGCCCTCCTCTGGACAGCATCGAGCATGGACAATGTAGTCGGGGCGGCAGCACCCCAAATGTGTGAGCAATACTCGAGGCTAGGCCTTATCTGGGCCTTGTATAGAGTGAGAAGGTCATGCGGAGAAAAGTACTTCTTAGCCCTAAACAAATAGCCTAGCTTTTTCCCAGCAGCTGCAGCTATTGAAGAGATGTGTTCGTGCCAGATCAGGTCCTCGGTGATCTGGACTCCGATCAGCCGAAATGAATGGCTCTTTGGTAGAACTCGACCGTCCATCGAAACTGTATGAGCGCTAGGACGCTTTTTGTTCGTCAAAGTACAGTACTGTGTTTTGGAAGCATTGAACTGTACAAGATTGTTGCGTCCCCAAGCAGTGATAGCCTCCAGGTCTCTTGTCAGAGAAGAAGTCGTCGCTAGTCTTCTTTTTTCCAGCTCTGCGGCAGAGATCGGCTTGTGACTCTGAATTCCTGCATGTAGAGTGCTGTCATCAGCGAAGCTGTGGATTGGGTTGATCGTGCAGGAAAGGAGGTCGTTGATATGTAAGAGAAACAGTGTTGGAGCCAAGACCGATCCCTGGGGAACACCCGCGTTGACGTTGTGGGATGAAGAGGAGAATCCGTCAATTACGACGGATATCTTGCGGCCAGAGATAAAGTCAGCCACCCATCTGCAAAGCATTTCTGGGAGGCCGTAGGATGGAAGTTTGCTTAAGAGGGCAGCGTGCCACAGCTGATCGAACGCTTTCGTGATGTCAAGAGCAACGACATGAGCCTCACCATGAGACTGCATGAGTTTACTCCACAGTTGCGTGACGTAAGCTAGGAGGTCCCCTGTGGATCGTTGGTGCCGGAAACCGTACTGCCTGTCGCTAATCAAGCTGTGACGTTCGAGGTAGTCCAGAAGCTCGCGATTTATGCACCTCTCCATCACTTTACTTATACCAGAAAGCAGAGCTATAGGCCTGTAGTTGTAAGGGTCGGTTTTAGATCCTTTTTTTGGGATGGGCTGTACATGAGCAAATTTCCAGTTTTCTGAGAAGATGCCGGATTCATAAGATATCTGGAAGAGACGCGAAAGAACTGGAGCAAGCTCTCTTCTCAGTACAATGGCAGGAATCAAGTCCGGACCAGAAGCTTTGTTGATGTCGAGCGTCAAGAGCACTCGTCTTACGGTCTTATGCCTGAATGTTACCTCCCGCATAGTGTGGGGAACCCTTTGAATTGACGGCACTTGGGCGTTGGTGGGGACGTCCATGGTGGAGTTGGCAGCAAAGATCTTGGCTAGCACTTCCGCCTTGGCCTTTGAGTCGAATACAATAGTTCCATCCTGACACGTAAGTGATGGAAGGCTACTATGTGAGAAGTTCTTTTCAATCTGCTTGGCCAGCGTCCAGAAAGACCGACTGCCATTGCGCTGCGACATTACCCTGTGCCTAACTTTTATATCATGCTGGCTTTTGGCATTGCGAACAGCTTCGTTATATTTGTTTCTGGACTCGACGTCGGCTTGTCTGTTCTCTACAGTGGGGTTTTGTAAGTAGGTTCTGTGGGCCTTGATCTTCTGCTGGCGAGCAGTGTCACACGATTTGTTGAACCAGCCGTTGGACCCTGGTTTAGGAACTTTCACTGTGTGAGGGATGTATTCCTCCATTCCGACGTGTATAATTTCGGTTATTGAAGAACAGACAGTCGACGCATCCACGTCAGTGAAACAGACATCTCTCCAAGGAAAGCTAGAGAAGAAGTCTCTGAGCCCCTCCCAGTCGGCATGTCCGTAATGCCAAGTTTTGCGGCCTGTGCGAGTTTCTGCTGCCACAGCGGCTTCTGACCGAAACCTAACCTCCACAACACCGTGATCTGAGTTACCCAGGGGGGACAGGACAGCAGTGCTGTAAGGGGCAGGATGCGTGGTCAGAAAGAGATTCAGCAGGCTACTGGCGTGTGACGAGACGCGGGGGAAAAAAGTAGGGCTCGTCACCAGCTGGGTCAGCCCTTGAGTAAGAGCGAACGCTTCGACTGCACGACCTGCTGCATCGGTCTTATTTGAGCCCAACCAAAGCTCATTATGGGCATTGAAATCACTGAGAAGAACTACCTCTGAAGCGGGGTGATTGATGTTCAGGAAGTCGATCTGGACGGCGAGGTATTCGAGTAGGTCATCCCAGTTATGGTTCGATGGAGAGCGATAAAGGCAGCAAATAAATTTGGGTGATGTTTTGGAGTTGAGGCGGTTTGATTCCAAAGAACCATCTTTGGAGCAGGAAAGACTGCTGCGGACAAAAGCCACAACTCCCCCGTTCTTTCTCAGCTTGGAGTGCACCTCGTAGTTTGGGAAGTTGAGATGGTTAATCGGTGCAGTCTCTAAGATTTTTGTCTCCGCCAAGAAAAGCACGGCGGGACGATTGGATTGCAGGTAGTGATGAACAGCATCAATGTTGCTGTTGATCCCGCAGATGTTCGAAAAACAAATTTTATCTTCGATGTTGTTCCCTCGAGCCCACCCTCCACCCGGACATTCCGAGAGTGGAGTGAGTTTACGTCCGGAGTTTTTAGTGCTCGAGGGATCCATCATCATTAATTTCTTTGTTTTGGTAGATAACCGACTGCATAGCTAAGGTGTGGAAACATGCGGACATTTATAAGACACCCTGGGAAAAGCTAGCGGGTGGTACTGCCTCGGTCGACTGGTCCTTGTCTATCACCTTCTTTTTACGTGCTAGTGATGTTAAATAGACCTAAAGTGGCCCGTTGGCGGACTTGTACCGCCACCCGGCAATCGGTACTGAGGTATTCCTTAACGCGTGCACAATCACTTGGACGGGAAGAAGTTGTATACTGGATACAACGACTTCCGGAACAAGCATTTGCCACGGCCCTCGCTCAGTAGGGGTAGGTTTCATCTCGTGAAACAAAGTTTCAATAGGTGACAGATCTGGACTGCTAGAAACCCATTTCAAAAGTGGTACATTATTTTCTTCCATCCATTTTATAGCCTTTTTTGAGGTATGGCTCGCTGCACCATCTTGCTGGTAAAAGCGATTCTTCTAAAATTGCCAAATATTTGTTTGTATCCACATTTCCATCAATAAAATGAAGTTTTCCTACTCCTTTTGATGACATACTGCCCCAGACCATAATGGATGCTGGAAATTTCACTTTTCTCTTCAGACAGTCAACACGGAATGCTTCATTTTTTTTGCGAATAACTTTACTGCGACTACTTCGAATGGGCCTTGTGTTGCACACCATTGTTGAGGTATCCATTGTATATGTCCTTTAGCCCATCTAAGCCGATTTTTCTTTTGCAGTGGAGTTAATAGTAGCTTTTCTTTGGCCTATAAACAAGTTGTGCAACTTTAGGGTTTTACCTTCACTTTTTTTTATAAGAAAACTTACCTTGCAAGTGCCAAATCCTAGTTTGTGGGCCTCTCTATGAGTTGTGGACCTCGAAATTCTCCTTCCAACAGCGGCACTCCACAAAGCACTTAATTGTAAATAATTGGCACGCCTGTTTTTCACGATTATTCTTTTTAATACTCTTCGGTCGGCATTTGTGATATTACTTTTTTTCACATATCGTGGAACCAGTTACGTTATATCATCTGACAATATTTCTCACACTGTACCGCGATAAGTCTAACAAAATTGCAATTTCTGAGTTTGATTTCCCAGAATTAAAAAATTTAATTATCAGTAACCGAATTTTCTCACTAATAACCTTCCCTCTACCCATTTTGAAAACCTTAACTACCCAAAACTATTTTAAACGTATTCTGACAGCTGTGATAAATAAATAATTCTGGGTGTTGTATTTTATATCTCAGTATAGCTACACCCTAAACTGATATATCAATCTTTTACAGACTCTTATTGTAACTGCTGTGGCATCAAAAGTATATTCATTACCAGTACCAGATCCATATTACAATAACTTTGTGTATCCTGATGAAGAGTTCCATGCGTATGATGAAGATCATATAGCAAACCGACAGGCTGATACAGAGAATGGGTCAAGGTCAAATGTGGTAGAACCACCAAGGCGCTATGGGTATCGTGCTTTTGATCTAGCATCAGAGGATACTTCGCATCGAAGAATATCTGTTGATAACCCAACTGGATCTCAAGCACGCCATGATCGCGGTTCTGTAACCCATCCATCTGCTGATAGTACGAAAAAGTATATTTCAATTGGAACAACGTTCGGTGGTAAAGTGTATCAGCAGCACAATCCAGAAAGCAGAGAAGAATTGTTGCAAAGTGCTCAGACTAGATATTACTATTATTATCCGTATTTTCGTGTGAGACGTATTTCTAGAAGAAGATGGTCGCGACCCAGGCATCCTTTGTCAAATTACGAAGATAGTTATGATAAATTTCCTACTGTAGCGTAAGACAATTATATTGATCTATTATAACTTATTTATATATTGTACTAAAAATAAACGAGTATGTATAGACTGGTGTCAGTTCTTAATGATTTAAGCTTATTCAGGCTTATAGTGATGTATAAATAAACCTCATAAGTGCAAACACTTCAGTAATAGCGGCATAAACATCGTAAAATTGCTTACCTTCGAGGTGACAATACTCAACGAATTGGAAAAATTGATATTTCTAATGGTATGTTGGTACATAAGAAAAAGCTTTCAAATGCTTATTGTTTTTGCCCGCCTTCGTTTAGCAACTCTCATTTTATAATTTACATAATCCACGCGAGGATCTAATTCCGTAGACAATGTTTGTGTAGGGGTGGATGTAAAGTGTTATGCCGCTGTAGTAAACAATAATATTAGTGATCATTTTGCTCAATTATCAAAAAGATGAACAACCATCTCAGATTTCCTACCAGTACCGAGACGTGTATAATAAATCCAACATCAACCACTTTTCAGCTCTCCTAGGACCATAAAGCTAAATTTGTAGATAAAATCCTTGTTTGGTGCGCGATTTCGAACAACAACCTTTTGTATGAAGAGTGAGGGGCACTGTGAATAGTCAGAGCTATATTATAATAATAATAATAATAACAATAAATCGTCTTTATTTAGGGGGCGAAGTTTAGCATAATGCTACTCTGCCCCCAGAAAAAGAAAAAACTGAAAAAACAATACAAAAAACATTTGATAAGTTAGAAGATTAAAAATGTAAGTGTATAAAAAATATGGTATATAACATATATAAGTGAAGACTATTCAATATTTCATGATTTAGAAGTATAGGGTCATCCAATAGGGACGCAGGAAAGTAAACGTCAATTTGACATAGACGCCATCTTTGTTTTCTGTCACCGACATGTCATTTTGTTAGTTGAATGTTTACCATTGATCGCTATGGAGTCGTATTCGATTGAAGACCGCATTAAAGTTATTCAAGAGCACTACAAAAATGGTGCAAAAATAAAAAACACGTCTCGCGCGCTTCGTGAACATTTCGGTCGCAACAACCGCCCAAACGAAACAACCATCGGTCGTCTGATGCGTAAATTCGAGGCAACAGGTTCTGTGGCAAATCTGCCAGGCTCTGGCCGGCCAAGAAGCGTTCGCACACCGGAAAATATTGCTGTTGTGAAGGAGAGTGTGAGAGACGATCCGAAACAATCAACAACGCGTCGATCCCAAGAATTGGGCATTTCGAGAACCAGTTTGCTCCGCATTCTCCACAAGGATTTGAATGTACACGCCTGCAAGATCCAATTGACGCAAGAGCTGCGTCGGGCCGACCATTTTTCGCGCCGAACGTTCTCAGATTGGCTCCTTGAACACCGCCAAATTGATGCCAATTTTTCATCAAAAATCATGTTCAGCGACGAAGCGCATTTCACTTTGAATGGGACGGTAAACAAGCAAAACTCATTTTCTCTCAACCAGTTCATGTCATTGAAAAAAGGGCTGACATGATCATATTTTTTCAAATTATTGATCAACCTACAACATGAGTTTTGGATTTTTTGGAGACGTGCTAGAGATATTGAGTCAAGAAATGGAAGATAAACTAAATCGCAATAACAAATTTTGGACATTACCAAAGATTCGCACAAAATTTTTTTAGTTGTAAAGTCAAGAAATTGTTTATTAAGATATAATTGACGTAAAATTGAAATTATTATTATTATTATATCAACGTTGTACAGTGAATAAGCTCTATGTGTCTTTACCTTTGGTGCGTGGTGTACGTCGAGTCACCTTAATATTTCTTTTACAGATGCGCGCTACTTCATCGTACATTCAGCAGGACTTAATAACTGTTCGAGGAAATCCGGTATAATTAATTAAATAATTTTTTAGGGCGTACGGCACAGCTGAATGGAGACGGTTATTAATTACTGGAGAATTAAGCTTTTTCATTTTGCCGGTTTCTATTACCAGTGATCCCTCATATTAAGCTTCATATCGTATCATACGGGATTACATGATGGGTGCGTTGGAAAAATGGAAAAACCCCAAGGCGAGTATATGAGTTATATTCTATTATGTCTATAGCTAGATGATCGCAGTGAAAACATTGGAAAGAATAAAACGCTTTTTAAGGGTTTTTAAGAGAATTCAGACTAGGTCGGGAATTTGTTTGTCTCCTAATTCTCATAGTTTGCAGTGAGGATCATTGCATTTGACTTAAGTTAATTTTTTAACAGTCCTGCCATTGGATTAATATTCGTAGTTTTATTTTTTTATTGTGGTGCTACGCGGTTTCAAGTCATGCTTCTTCTTACATAATTTGTAAAGAGCAGCTCAAACCTGATGAAGGTAGATGTTGCCCAAGGAGGGGATACTAAATTTGCACAATCTGTACCATTGGGTTTCAAAAAATCAGAACCCAAGAGTGAAGATTCTAAGCTCTTTTCAGAGAAGATTCAGTGTGAATGTTTGGGTAGGAGTAGTGGGCAATCATGTGATTGGGCCACATTATTTGCCAGATGGTCTTAATTATCTACATTTTCGGTAAAATAAGTTGCCCGAATTGGTGAATGAGGTGCCAATTCTTCAATGACGACAGACGAATTGTATTCCAACATGATGGCTGTCCTGCACGCTGGAGGCTAATTGTGCGGGAACATGATGTTTTTCAGAATGCGTGGATTGGACGAGATGGTCCTATTCGATGGCCTGCACGATCCCCAGACCTAACTCCATTGGATTTTTATATCGGGGACGTGCAAAAGCATTCGTCTAAGCGACAGAAGTTGGAACAAGAGAGGAGTTGATCCGAAGAATAGAAGAGGCGTTTGGTACGATTCGGCAAGAAATTCCCTACGTACGGCAACCAACGAGATAAGACAAAGGTGTCGTGCGTGCTTACGCAATAGAGGACAACAATTCGAACAAGATTTGTGAAACAGAAAAAATAATAAATAATTGAAATTTGATTTTACACGTTTTTTATTTTCCTTCCCCTGTACATAAAATTGCAAATACAATAAGTTAGTTAAACTTTTTTGTAACTTGTGGGATACCGTTAGAATCGAGATAAACTAGAGAAGTTTTTAAAAGAATTCTAAAAACGTGAACGCTTTTAGTTTTTTTTTCACAGAAATTCAAAATTGAGACTTACATTTTTTTGTTCTTCTTGTCGTGAGTTTATACATAAAAAACTACATGCTGCTGGCAAGTAATGTTGCTTTTGTAAGATTGATACATCACCCATCAAAATAAATTAATCATTAGGTGGACATAATCTTTATTTTTTTATTTCACCTTGTGGTAGAGTTCTTATTAAAAAATTTACATAATTAATTCCGTTGGGCTAAAAACTGTTTGAGGGACCTGGGGTAATAAAAAAACACCTCATCTATCCGCCATTTCAATTTGGCAAACGATGCACCAAACACCCTGTATCTCATTTAGTATTCGACAACACAAGTTGCGATCTATTTACCAGGCAACCACCAACTCCTCTCGGAGTGCTTCTAGAGTCTGAGGAGGACGTTGCAAATCTCCTACCCATCATATCCCACACGTGCTCAATTGGGGATAAGTCGGGAGATCTTGGTGGCCATGGTAACAATGTGACATCATTATGTTGAAAGAAGTCTATTGTGACTCTTGCAACATGTGGTCGGGCATCATCTTGTTGGAAAGTTGGATCTGCCAGGATGTCAAGATAGGGTAAAAGATGGGGTTCTAGAATTTCGTGGATATAACGCTGCGCGTTCATGTTACGTCTGATGAAGATTAAAGGTGACCTGGAACCATAAGCTATAGCACCCCAAACCATAACTCCAACAGTGTGATGAACATGTCTTTCAACAAAAAACTGTGGATTCCTCCTTTCACCACGTCGCCTTCTAACCCTAGCACGACCATCGTGCATGCCTAAACAAAATCGAGACTCGTCACTAAAGACAATACTGTTCCATTCCTGATCCCAGAGTGACCGTTGTCTGCACCACTCAAGGCGATTACGTCGGTGTTCTCGAGTTAAAGGGAGGACCCAGTGTGGCCGGTATGAAAACAAGCCAAAACTTCTCATTCGTCGGTAAACACTTCGCATGCCAATAGGTCTTCCGTGTTCTGCAAACCATTCATTTGCAATGGACCTGGTAGTGGAGAAACGGTCCCTTAAGGCCAATAATCTTAGGCGGCGATCTTCACGGTCTGTTGTTCTACGGCGGCGTCCTGTGCCCCTTGCTCTTTGCGTACGGCCTTCTCGAAGCCATGCATGACAACACCTAACCACAGTGTCTACACTTCTTTGCACTCTAACTGCAGTTGCCCGAAAAGAAAGTCCAGCTTCCCGAAGTCCCACTATACGGCCCCTATCAAACTCACTAAGTGGACGAAATCGTACAGGTCTCCGTACTCTAGGCATCGTAACCGATCGTAAAGGATGTCAAGAACCAAAATCCGCCAACGTTGATTCTTTATTGCGGCTGAAATATTAATTTTTAAAGCGTTAGTGAATTAAAAAAAGCATTATAAAAACCGGAATGTCCAACTGATAAGGCTGAAAATTTTTTCACTTGTTATTTACAGTAAGATAAATACATTCACCAACTTTTATTAAAATAAAACCATTTAAACTGGGTGTTCGGATTTATATGTCACTTAGTATATTTGTTGGATGTGTAATGATATCTGAGCGCTTTAACAACCATGCCATCGCTATAATCGCTAGTTGCTGCCGATACAGTATTTGTGAAGCATCCAGATTTGGAAACTGGACAATACTGATTTCGTACGTATATCTAAGCACTATATTGCCAGAATGAGCAACGTCTACCATTCATAGTGATGACACAGCTATTAAAAAGAACTGACAATGAGATACGTTCACAGTTTCAACGGCCACTTGCTATTCACTTCCCATTGATCGGTTCTGATAATACATGGAATTTGTGCTCGATCTCATACCCCTGATACAGATTATTTTTGCTAGAAAATATGATAATGTTGTGCATGGTTGCTCAGACGGAT